TTCGGTCTCCCAGGGGACCTCAGCTTCCTGCAGGCCTCCCTGCCCGGTGCGCCGTCTGTCCACTAAGGCCCAGTGACCTCTCAAATGCTAACGTTAGGATACTGTTATATGCTCCCGGACCCGCTGGTGCGCCCATACTCCTACACAGACACACACGCCACCCCGCGCAACCCTTCCCCTGCAGGCACGTACAGGTGCACCCGCCCAGGCCGCGCATTTTTAGCACCGGCTGTTCCCCTGCGCGCCTTCCTTCCACAGTCACGTGTGAGCGCCTTCGCTAGGGCCCCTCTGGGCCCAGGAGTCCGTGCCCCATCGGAGGGTGAGTGGGGGCCAGCTAACCCTGGGGGCGTCGTCTCCGTCCTCCCCAAGCCCCCTGCACCGACCAGCTCGTCAATACCCCGGGGCCTGGCCTCGCCGCCTCCGGGGCTGCTCCCTTGCCCGTGCTTCCCGGGCCCACCTCCCAAACCAAGCATTTGCACAAAGGCCGTGCTCCTGAGGGAACCCGGCCTCCGCTTGCACGCCCGGCGCGTGGGCGCACCCACAAGAATCACCCCATCATCCGCCGGCCCTGGCTGTGCCCTGTGCACACAGCTCCCCGTCCGCCAGGCGTCCGCCGTCGCCTCTCCGGGCGGCCTCCCCACACTCAGTCGACCCCGCTGTGTGTTTGGGGTGCTCCCCTCCTCCCAAACCCCGCAGAACACGCTCATCTGCCTCCCCGCCCCAGCTGGAGGCCCGGCGCCCAGCACACCTCGCTCCTGTCACGCGCCCACCGCACCACGTGGGCCCTGGCCACCGACAGCGCCTCTGTGAGCTTTTCTCCAACACTTTCCCATTTGGCCTTCAATCGGCCAAAGCCCCGCGTCGTCTGCGCTCCTTGAGTGTCCGGAGCCGAGCGCGCCCGGGGCGGAAGGCGTGAGGCTCCACCGCAGGCCTCTCCCGTGCCGCCCACCGACGCGCGCATGCGCCCGCCCGCCTTCCCAGAGGCCCCCCGCGGCAGCGCGAGGCGTGGCACGTGGCGGCGGTAGGGGGCGGGGGATGGCAGCTGCGCACGCGCAGAGCTGAACGTCGTGGCTGCGCTGCCCCGGGAGTGTGTCCGGTCGTTTTGGGGGGCGGGGGGGGGGTGTCCGGGAACCCGGAAGAGCCGCAGGGGCGGTGGGACCCGGTCCGTGGGCGCAAAGGGGCCCAGAGGAGGCCCGGCCATGGCCTCAGCGAGCTGTTCCTGTTGCTGACCTCGTTCCTCTCGGTGACCCCGGCCGTGCCCTCCGTGACCGTGCTCCCCTCTCGCACGTGCTCCTTCTGTTCTGCGAGCTGCCCTGCCCGCCGGCCTCCTGCTCCGGCCCGGCCCTTGCCCCGCGCCACGCCCACCGCGCAGGGAAAGCGCCTGGGCCAGCCCTGGTGGGGTGGGGGGAGGGACATCCCGCTTGTCCCCAAGGGCTGTCCTCCCTCTTGGGGAGATGCTGTGGATGTGCTCACCCCTCCCCCCCCACCCCATTCCTCTACGCTAAAGGCTTCCTGCCCAGCTCCCGGCCTACCTTAGGGGGCTCCTCACCGCCTGCCTTCAGACCTGCCCTCCTCTTCGTCACTTTGCTGGTAACACCCCGTAATCTTGTAACACCTTGAGTTTACAGGGTTTTTTTCCCTTTTCTTTCAGTCTGATGCGTCTAAATCGGTAAGTTCTCCGCTAGAGTTGGCAAACGGGCTCTTCGCAGTGGAGTGTATGCCTGCGTTCCCAGGACTTGGTTGTAATATGTCTTTAAAAAAAAATTTTTTTTAAACATTCATTTTTGAGAGTGAGAGGGACAGAGCATGAGCGGGGGAGGGGCAGAGAGAGAGAGAGAGGGAGACAGAATCCGAAGCAGACTGCGGGCTCTGAGCTGTCAGTACAGAGCCCGGCGCGAGGCTTGAACTCACAGACTGTGAGAGCATGACCTGAGCTGAAGTCAGACACTTAACCGACTGAGCCACACAGGCTCCCCAAGACTTGGTTGCAATATTTAAAACTACAAGCGTGAGGGGGCCCTTGGGCGGCTGAGTCGGTTAAGCGTCCAACTTCGGCTCAGGTCATCAACTCGCTTTCGTGGGTTTGAGCCCCATTGGGCTCTGTGCTGACAGCTCAGAGCCTGGAGTCTGCTTGGGATTCTGTGTCTCCCTCTCTCTCTGCCCCTCCCCCACTCGCTGGCTCTTGCTCGCGCACTCTCTCTCTCTCTCCCAAAAATAAACGTTAAAAAATTTTAAGCAAAACATGAGCATGAAGACATATAACCCCCCAGGAAAATGCTCAGGACCTGTTAACTGAAACTGTTCCTAGAGAGATTAATGTAGTAACGGGGGTCAAGATCGAATGCCATCCGTGGACTGTCAGGTCCAATACAGACCTTGTGGGCGGCGTGTCTTTGCTCTTCTTTTGGCTGCGGGCCGACGTGAGGTTGCTGTTGCTGTGTTTTAGGTGTAAACTCAGCTGTACACACCATGGGCTCCGGGCATGACAGGTCATCGGACGTCAGGGCCACGTCAGCTGGCCCTCAGAGTCGACCTGTTGCTTGCCCTGGGGCCTTACACGATGCAGCCCAGCCTTGTGTGTTTTCTTACAGTTACAGATGAAGGCGGGGCCATGGGAGATGGTCACGATTCCAAGCTGTCCGGGTGAAAGATAAAGTTGCCCTCGTGAGATAACAGAATAGTTTTGGGAAGAAAAGGTGGCCTTTGCTGGGCAGGTTGTGATTTTTGTTCACAAGCTGGCTTGGCTCTGGTAGTAGTTTAGTCTGATCGACCCCCCCCCCCCCCCCCGCAGTGTTGAGAATGGGACCGGGGCAGCGTGTGCGCACAGACACGCACAGGCCGCCTGGAGCAAGGGCTTTGGTGTCAGACTGGAGAAGGAGCCGGAGGAGGTGATCTTATCGCTTCTCCGTGCAGTTTCAGTTTCTTCCCATCAAAGACATTGTTTCAACGTTGGCTTTGCGTTTCTCCCCCTGGGAGTCACGTTGAAAGATTTCTTTGATTAAAGGAAGGAGAGAATACTGAACAGATGAAGCTAGAAACTCAAAGAAGTAGAAAGAAAAGGAACCAAACCCCCCAAATCAGGGAAGATGGGGGGAACACCAGGTTTGAGTCTTTTATTTGCTGTTACTATTTCATTTTTAAAGGCACAGTCTTCAGTATGTTACATTTTTTTATTTGGGTAACCCCTGGGCCTTTCTTAGTTTGCATGTCATTTTGATCAATCTAAAACTAGGTACTTTGTGTTCGCTTAAAGTTCGTTTATTTCAAATTTCATAAGGTGCACTGCTTTTCTGTGTTGTGGGTTGGGATTGGAATCAGTCCTAGGAGGGGTGGGTGTGGTTATTTGCCAGTGTGAACCCTTTTGGTGAGTTCTGAGGACCGGCAGCCGCGGGCTGGGGGTGTCAGGGCCACCTGGACCTGATCTCACGTCCCAGGCGCCATATTTGGTCTTCCCAGGGGCCACATTGGTGATGGTCCGCTTAGTGTTTTAACAGAAGTTCTAACTATTTATCATGATCCGGAAATGTTCCCAGTAAATGAATGTTATCTGTGGCTTGTAGCAGTGCTTGGAAAAAAGTACATTCTAGGGGCGCCTGGGTGGCTCAGTCGGTTGAGCATCCGACTTCAGCTCAGGTCATGATCTCACGGTTTGTGAGTTTAAGCCCCTCATCGGGCTCTGTGCTGACAGCTCGGAGCCTGGAGCCTGCTTCGGATTCTGTGTCTCCCTCTCTCTGCCCCTACCCCACTAGTGCTCTCCTTCTCTCTGTCTCTCTTTCACTCTCTGTCTCGCTCTCTCAAAAATAAACATTAAAAATAAACTTTTTTTTAAACTAAAAAAAAGAAACTACGTTCTCCATTTGGAAAGAAAATCCAGGCCAAGAAAATGGTATTATCAGGTAGGGTTTGTTCTCAGTCCCTTTCCTCTGTGGAGGGGGGCTACAGGGATTGTGAGGGGAATGAGGTGGGTGCAGTCAAAGGGGTCCTCAGTGTGGCCTTGGCAATGGAGTTGAGACCTGCACTCCCTGAGTTTGCTGAGGCCTTGCTTTGACTCAAGCAGAAGTCAGAATCCAGTGGGATACAGAACAGTTGGTAAAGAGCACTGCTTGGGGACTGGGTGTCAGTGCCTTGCACATTCACGTGACAGCTGAGACAGAGGCCTGAGGTCCAGCCCTCTCTTGGCTGCCCTTGGCCCTTTGTAGGGTTTTTGTTTTAAATAAATGATGTTGTCACAGTTTAATTGTGAACTTGGCAACAATGTAGCCACATCTTTTTCAAGACTAAAACCAAAAATGGTTTAAAAGGCACTAGGTGTCCTTGTCGCTGGCTTTCCTTTACCTCTCCTATCTGTTTTCTCCCTCTTTCCTGTGTCGGATGATGGTGTAAATAGCTCCCTTTGTCCAGTGGAACAAAGAAAAAAACCTGATGGAAAAGACTGAGGTAGGTTTTGCTTTTGAAAAGCGTGGTGCTATAATGAATACAGGGCTCCGTGACGGGATTTGTGTATCGCTTCATGGGGAAGGGAGTGATGTTTTATATTTTTTATTTATTTTTTTAACGTTATTTTTGAGAGAGAGAGAGAGGGAGACAGAGAGAGAGACAGGCATGAGTGGGGGAGGGGCAGAGAGAGGGAGACACAGAATCCGAAGCAGGCTCCAAGCTCTGAGCTGTCAGCACAGAACCCGACACGGGGCTCGAACCCACAAACCATGAGATCATGACCTGAGCTGAAGTCTGACACTTAACTGACTGAGCCCTTCAGGCACCCCTGGAATGAAGTTTTAGAATCAGGTAGTTTGACTTGTGTTGTTCTAAATACATTTCCATTTTTTAAAAATCATTTTTATGATTTTTATGATTTTAAAATCATTTTAAATGATTTTAAATGTTTATTTTTTAGACAGAAGGAGACAGTGCGAGTGGGGGAGGGGCAGAGAGAGAGGGAGACACAGAGTCCAAAACAGGCTCCAGGCTCCGAGCTGTCAGCACAGAGCGGGGCTTCAACCCACGAACCGCGAGATCGTGACCTGAGCCGAAGTCGGACGCTTAGTCGACTGAGCCACCCGGGCGCCCCAATACATTTCCGTTTTTGAATGCAGCGCCAGGCCTTGGAGTTCAGGAGCTGTTTAACGTGATGTTCTCCCTGAGCAGTGTCAAGTTGCATCTCCTAGGTTTCTGTAATCTGTCCTGGGGAGGAGACGGGCCGTTCCCTTCATGGTCTGCCATTTGCTGCTTCAACCGTGTCCACGCCGTGAGCGGCCTGGCCACCTCTCAGAGGACATGCGGGTGTGGTGGCCCGCACGGCCAGGCTGCTGATTTGTCCAGGTTGCAGGAACTGGGATTGTTACGCTGAAATGATCCGAATGCTAAACATTGCTGAAATTGCACAAAGGTGCCTGGCTGGCCAAACAGAAATGCGTGTGGCCCACATGTAGCTCACGGGCCACGGTATTTGGCCGCTTGCTGCGCGTGGACGTGGGATTTCTCTCTGTGCCTCATGTTCTGTCCCGACTCTTCTTGTTCTCTCATGGAAAATGGCAGAAAGTTCTGGAAACCTTCATTTTGTGCTGCTTTTAATTGTGATAAAATTTACATAACAGAAAATTCATCATTTGAACCATCTGAAAGTCTCCAGTTCCGCGGCAGGAAGCACATCTGCAGTCTGGTGTCACGACTGCCTCCGCCTGGTTCCGGAACCCCGTGTTACCCGGAACAGAAACCCCACACTCCTCTCCCCCGCCACCAGCTCCTGACAACCACTTACCAGCTTTCTGTTTCTGTGAGTTTGCCTGTTCTGGATATTTTACAGAGTGGATCGTACGATACTTGTCCTTTCGTGTCCACGTTCTTTCGCTTGCCGTGTGTTCGCGATTCACCCACGGTGCAGCGTAGATCAGTACTCCGTTCCTTTTCGTGGCTGAGAATATACCACTTTTCACGTTCCCGTTCATGTGTTGAGGAGCGTCTGGATCGTTCGTCCTCTGGGCTCTTGTGGACGTTACTGCCGTGAACATTCACGTACAGGTGTTTATTTGGACACCACGAGGTGGAGTTGTGGGTCTCGTGGTGATTCTGCATTTGCCTCATGGAGGAGCTGCCCGGCTGTTTCCTAAAGTGGTTCCACCAGTTTTCATTCCTACCAGCGGTGTGCAAGGAACTGTTTTCTCTACACCCTTGACAGCACTTGTCACTTTCTGTCTTTTTTGTTCCCGCCATCCCACCGGATGTGTAGTTCGGGGAGCGGAGGAGTGGCTGCGTATGCGTGGCTCGTGTTTGGCGGGTGACCTGGTGCCGGGTCTCCCCCGACGCGGCCCCACTGGCGCGCGCGTTTGGGTGGCAGTGAGGTGATGCCCCGTCACCTGCGCAGGCCATTGCACCTGGTCCTCTCTCTGTCTGGTCTGGGGTCTGTTTCTGTATATATTTTCTCACTCTGATTATTTCTTTAAAAGTTACTTTTGAAGGAGCGTTTTCTAAACCGATGCTTTCCTGGCAGGCGTAGTGTTGATGGATCACTTTGCTGTCACTCCTCCTGAAGCCCCAGGAAGCTTTTGTGGCTTCCCTCTCTGTGCTTCGACTGGGGCTGTGCTCATAGATTTGCTCTTTACCAAACATTAGTAAAAAGAGAATAAAGTCCATTGGAAAGATTGGAGACTTCTACAAGATTTTGAATCTTTCCCTCTGGTTTTGAAACGGCAGCTTGCTGAGTGAGCAGCAGATCCATATATTTATGTATCAGTTTGTGTTTTGTTTTTACTTTTTATTTTTGAGAGAGAGAGAGCACGAGTGGGGGAGAGGGGCAGAGGGAGAAAAACAGAATCCCAAACAGGCGTGATGGGAGGCTTGATCCCATGACCCTGGTGCATCACGACCTGAGCCGAGATCAAGAGTCAGACGCTCAACTGAGCCACCCAGGCACCCTCAATTTGTGTTTTCGGTCGGCACAGACCACCAAGCCAGTGAAGATGAAAAGCCATCCGGGAAAAAAAGCCACGTGAGCATCCTGAAGCGTGATTCTCGTGGCCAGCTTTATAAGCGTCACACGGGGCGTGATGGTGATTCTTGCGAGTACGAGAAGGCAGGGGATGAACCTAGTAGAGACTTCTTCGTGAAGTAAATGGGTGGAGCCCGGATGGGGGTAAGGAACGGTGTTGGTGCCGGGGTGGCGGAGCCTGGGGGTGCCGTGCGGATGAAGCCGGAGGTTGGTCGGGCCACTCCTGGCAACGGCCACGGGGGCTCAGACACAAGCCATTTTCCGAGGCCGCAGCAACACACAGCCTCGGCTCGTGTGGCGCGCTGACGGGCGCTGTGTCCCGTCGCGTGCGGTGGGCACTGCGGGGGTGGCGTGTGCTCTCTGGACCCCTGTCCCTCCCTGTGAGCTCCAGCAGGTGGCCCGCCGGTGTGTTCCCTGTGTTCTGGGGCCGGGGTGCAGGAGGCCCTCAGTGGACATGAGGTGGTCCCCGAGGACGGAGCCCTGCAGGCAGTGCCGCACAGCCCCCACGGAGAGAGCACCACGGCAGGTAGACGCAAGGCAGGGATGGGGTGAAAATGAAAAGCAAATGAGAAATCATAGGCCAAGCATCGGGAAGGAAAGGGCCGCAAGGGCTTGAGGAGGAGCCCTGGATCAGGGCCTCGACCTGACGGAGCGGAGGGCAGGGCGGAGGAGGCGCGGTGCGGGGGGGCCTTCTCTGGGAGTGAGGAGCTGACCGCTGCCTGCCGGAAGAGCGTTAGAGATCGCGGGGAGGAGTGAGACAGGTGGGAGGAGGGCGGAGGAGGGGGGCAGGGGCGCTGGGAGGGGAGGTGGGGGCGTGGCGAGGGAGGAGCGCTGGGAGGGGGCGGGGTGGGGCGGTGCGGAGGAGAGGCAGAGCCCACGCCCACCTCAGGCCGTTGCGTGGGTGCGGAGCACTGTCAACGTCCAGTGGAGGGAACCCTACCTGCCGGCGGTAGGGCTGTGGGGAGGCGTGAGGGATAACTACAGAATGTTCTAGTGGAGGCGCAGCTCTTGAAATGAAGGTTTTGTGGCTCTGCTGGGTTGGGTCGGCCTGGTGGCGTGCACCGCCATCCCGCCGTGGCACGTGAGCTCGCAGGAGGGCGACAACAGCATCACCGGCCAGGCGAGGTACAAGGGGCTGTGGATGGACTGCGTCACGCAGGGCACCGGCGTGTTGAGCTGCAAGATCGGCCACACAGGCCACCTGATGGCGGCGTCCCGGGGGCTGGGCTTCCTGGCCACGCTCGGACACGATGGGCACGAGGTGTGCAAGCTGCAGGGGAGAGGACCAAGTGAAGAAGGCCCGGGTAGCCTTGACGGAGGCATTATTTTCATCGTGAAAGGCCCTGCTGCCTCCAACAGGACAACTTGTTCTGGCGTGGCCACCAGATTGTCACAGACTTTTTTTTTTTTTTTTTTTTTTTTTGAGAGAGAGAGAGGGCAGGGGAGGGGCAGAGGGAGAGGAAGAGAGAGAAGCTTAAGCAGGCCCCAAGGCTAACACAGGCTCGATCTCAGGACCATGAGATCATGACCTGAGCTGAAATCAAGAGGCAGGTGCTTAGGGGCACCTGGGTGGCTCAGTCGACTAAGCGTCTGACTTTGGCTCAGGTCATGATCTCGCATTCGAGTCCTGCGTCAGGCCCTGTGCTGACAGCTCAGAGCCTGGAGCCTGCTTCGGATTCTGTGTCTCCCTCTCTCTCTGCCCCTCCCCCCACCCACACTCTGTCTCTCTCTCTCTCAAAAATAAGTAAACACCAAGAAAACCCTTATTTAAAAAAGAGATGATTAAGTGAGTCACCCGAGCACCCCTGTCACAGACTTTTATAAACCGGTGCCCCCCATGAATGTTAGGTACAAGCTTCGTCCCGCTGTCTTCATTGGCTGGGTGGGGTCTGCCCTGGTCATTCTGGGAGGTGCGCTGCTCACTTGCTCCTGTTCCGGGAGTGACAGCAAAGATGGGTACCGGGTACCCCGCTCCTACCCTAAACACAACTCTGCCACGCAGTATGTGTGAGCTGGGACCCCTGGCCCGGCCCGGCAGCCTATGGTGTGCCCAGCGGGTACCTGAAATGACCTGGGGCAGAGCTCAGCCCGTGGGCAGGGTGCGGAGCAGAAGCCTCGTCACCCCTGCCCTGCACACCACGTATAGTGCCCCGGGGGGGTTGGGTGAGGGAGACACAAAGAGGAGAGGCTGTGCTTTTTATACAGGAATAAAAAGGTATGTTTTGGGGGGAAAATGGAGTGTAGGCACCGGCGAACCACCACTGATGCACTTGTTCCGTGGCTGCATTGCCTCTGGCCAGTCCTTGATGAGCTCCGTCCTGTTACGATCTTTCAGTGAGGAAAGCACAGGACACAATTCACAATACAAGAAGAAGGGACTTGCTGAAGGTCACATGGCCACTAAGCAGAGGATCAGACAGTGGCTGCCAGCAGCCACGTGTGGCTTTGAACCCGAGATGTGGCCGGTCCCCATGGAGCTGCGTTGTGGGCGTAAAATGCATGCTGACTTCGAAGACTCACTAGGATACAAAGTATGAACTAATGCATCAGTTTTTTATGTTGATGACACATTGAGATGACATTGTTTTGGGTATATTGTTTAAAGTTAAGCATGTTTTAAAAGTCCCATTCACATTCTTTTGGCTTCTAGACCATTTAGAATCCACATATGGCTTCACGTTTGTGCTGGGCGCACCGACTCACACCCCGTGAAGGTGGGCGGGGGGCCCTAGTGCAGCCGTGGCCTTCGGGGTCCCAGCAGTCTCCGTGTCTCTTGGTATGGGTTCTCGCCTTCAGCAGCTGTTTGGGGGACGTGACGTAAATATCCTGAGCCTTGTTTCTTTCATCTGCGGAGCAGGGTCAAGCGTGAGGGTGCATGTGAAGGGCTGTGGGGGGTGAAGGGTGTCTTTCGGTGTGCGATCGCTTGCCTTTCCCTGACGGCTGAAGACGTTGATCTTTTCGTGAGCTTGTTGGCCATTTGTACATCTTCTTTGGAGAAATGTCTGTTCAGATTCTTTGCCCATTTTTCATCGGCTTATTTGTCATTGTGGAGACGTAATAGTTACATGTTTTGGACGCTAGACTCTTGCCAGATAAGGGATTTGCAAACAAAAGCTCTGTGAGTTCGTTCCTGGACTCAGTTTTACTCCGTTGATCTGTGTGTGTGTGTGTGTCCTGATGTCAGCACCACGCTGCCTCGACTACCGAAGCCTTGTAGTGTGTTGCGAGGTCAGAATGTGTGGGTCCTCCGACTTTTTTTCTCTCAAGATTAGTTTGGCTCTTCTGGGCATCTTGTATCTGGGTTGTCAGTTTCTTCAACGATTTGGGGATTTGGGTGAGGACTGGGTCACATCTGCAGATTGCTTTGGGGAGTGCCGCCCTCTTAGCACAATGAAGTCCTTTCACCCCACGAACGTGGGATGAGTTTCCATTTGTTTAGACCTTCTTTGGTTTCTTTCGCCAGTGTTCTGTAGCTCTCAGTGTGTAAGTCTTTTGCTTCCTTGGTTAAATTGATTCCATTCATAGATATTTTCTTGTTTGGTGATATTGGAAGTTGAACTGGTTCCTAATTTTCTAGTTGGGTTGTTTGTTATAGGCGTAAACAGACAAAACCGACTTTCTTGTGTTGACCTTGTACCCTGAAACTCGGTTGAATTCACTTACTAGCTCTAATAATGTTCTGGTAGATGTTTTTGGGTTTTCCATCATGCCACCTGCAGAGAGAGTTTACTTCTTCCTTTCCAACTTGGATACCTTTTATATCATTGTCTTGCCTATGTGCTCTTTGGTGAGTGTGATTGTTTTTTTATCACGAGTGTGTGGGATTTTGGCAGGTGCCTTTTCTGCGTCTGTTTAGAGATCTTACGGCTTTTGTCCTGCCACACTGTCATTCGTAGTCTGAACTTGAAAGCACAGTGACCTCAGCATTCTGATGATGGAATGGTGGGCCTTTGCTAGAACTGACTTCCGGGTTTTAGAAGGACGGCAGGGGAGAATGTGTGCCAACCTTAAATACGCCTGGCACACGGTGGGCTTGCGTGTCCAGCCAGTGGCTGCATGGCTCCTTCTGAATGGTGACCGCCACCAGGGCCTGCCTAGGTGCTGAGAGGCAGCTGCACAGCCGTGTGCCACAGCTTCCAGCCGATAGGTGTCCATGGGGACGGCAGAGCTGGAGGTCGCTGAGGGTGTGCAGGTAGCCTCGCGTCCACGGTGAGACCGGGCGTGCCGTGCGCTCTTGGCATGGACACCCGCACGTGTGCTCTCGCTGAGGTCAGCTGCCCGGGAGGCTACCGCGCTTTATGGGAAAGCATTGGACCGTGAATGTACAACCAAAGAAGTTTCCCGAAATAACTTCTTCAGCACCTGGCCGAAGGAGGTGGTGCAGGTGGCCGTGGCAGCCGTCCTGGACCCACCGCACCAGGGCTGGGTGCCATCGGCTGCCGCCTCTCGCAGCCTCTTGACCTCTGAGGCCGCCCGGTTTTCTCAGGAAGGCCTAGTGCTCTTTCGACATCCCCCTGCCTGGCCACTGTTTTTCAGGGGCGCTGGAGAGGCAGTCAGAGGGCGTGGGGCCACCTTGCTTCAGGTGCACCTGTGAGGGTGGCCATGGCTGCCACAGAGCGGGGGATCGCAGGAGCCCAGGAGGGGCACTTTCTGGCCCCCGGAAAACGGGAAGCTTTGGTGGGAAGCTCTTTGAAGATAAGGTGCTACGTTAGGGTTTTATTTCTTTTCTCATTAAAAAATATTGAGTTACGCGTGGGTCAGCACTAACCTGGGCATCCAGCTGAATCACATTTTCCATACGTGCTCGCCCATGGGACTCCCCCAGAGAAAGAACATTCCGGGCCTGTTCCCAGGCTTCCTTCGGCAGGACACCTGTGTGGCTCTGTCCCTGGATTGCTGACCACTGCATGGTGGTGTCCTCCGCCGCATGGACACACGTGACTCCGTTTCCCTGTTGGCATTCAGACCACCAGCCTGAACGAGCACCTCAGGACACGGTGGACAGACAGCCTGACCGCCAAAGAGCTCCGTATCCGCAGGGCCAGCGTCTCTCTGCAGGAGCAGCTGTGGGCGCTGAGCAGAGGGGAGCACGTCCCCGCCCGTCAAAGGAGAAGGTGTCCTGGCCGTGCGCTGGTGCACGGCCGCTTGGTCCGGGGGAGGATGCTGCACGGCCGGCGTCCAGGGAAGGAGCGGAGCCTGTCTGGCCTGAGGGGACCGTCCACGATAGAGCCGAGTAGGAAGGGTTGGGATGTGCCTGTCTCAGCTGAGTGGCCAGCGGGACCCTGGGCCCGGTCGCCATGCCTCCCTTGCGGGGCCTGCTGCTCCCGGGCGCCTCTGCTCAGCAGCCCCTCCCTCATCGTGTCAGTCTTGCAGCCGCACAACCTCGCCTCTCAGCACTGTTGTTTCTGAAGCGCTGCCACCCCCTCTGCGCGTCCTTCCCGAGCGCCAGCCGTAATCCAAAGAAGACGGGGCGGCGGGAAGTCCGGGAACGCGTTGGAGAGGACGCAGAGTGCTGGCCTGATGGGTGTGAGGCGGTGTCTCACTGTGGGTTCGATTCGCACCTCCCTGGTGGTTAATGATGCTGGGCATCTTTTCTGTGCCTATTGGCCATTTGTCGGTCTTTTTGGAGAAATGTCTCTTCAGGTTCTTTGTGCATTTTTTTTTTAAGTGTATTTTTTGAGAGAGAGCAGGAGCAGGAGAGGGGCGGAGAGAGAGGGGGACAGAGTTTCTGAAACAGGCTCCAGGCTCCACACTGACAACAGAGAGCCCGACACGGGGCTTGAACCCATGAACCGCGAGATCATGACCTGAGCCGAAGTCAGACGCTTAACCGACTGAGCCCCCCGGGTGCCCCATTTTTGTGCACTTTTCAGCTGGGATGTCATTTCACTGTTGATCTGTAAGGGCTCATTCTTCATTCTGGGTACAAGTCTCTTATCAAACGTATGATTTGAAAATACTTTCTCCCATTCTGTGGGTTGCCTTTTCACTTCCTTGATAGTATCCTTTGGAAGCACAAATTTTTAAAATTTTGATGAGGCCAATTAATCTTTTTTTGTTGTTGCTTATTCTTTTAGGTGTGGTGCTTAATAGCTTTGCCTAACCCAGGGCCGTGAAGATATATCCCCAGTTCCTTACAAGTTTTATAGTTGCAATGCTTACGTGGAAGTTATTGATACATTTCGAGTTAACTTCTGTACGTGGTGTGAGGTAAGGCTCCAGCTCCGTTCTTTTGCACGTGCACGTGCAGCTGTCTCAACTCTGTTTGCCGGAAACACTCTCCTCTCTCCACTGAGGGTCGTGGCCCCTGCTGAGGGCCAGGTGGCTACACGTAGGTGTTTGGGTCACTTCCGGACCCTAGTCCTGTGCATGTTTATCCGTGTGTGTGTCCTCATGCCGGTGCCACAATGTCTTGATTCTTGTAAGTTTTGAAGTCAGTAAGTGTGAGTTCTCCAACTTTGCTTTTCTCTTTAAAGGTTCTTTTGGCTCTTCGGGGTCGCTGAAGTGTCACCTGAACTTGAGGGTTCAGCCAGCTGGGATTCTGATAGGGATTGCCTTGAATCTGATCGATTCGGGAAGTATCGTTAAGTATTTTCATTTTTGCTGCTGTTGTAAATGGAATTGTTTTCTTGATTTCATTTTTTGGGATGTTTGTTGCCAGCTCTGTCGGGGTCCCCAAGACCACCCTAGTTCAGTGACTCACTAGGAGGCCTCCCGGGACCTGGCGCCACTAAGATGGGTTGCGGCGAAAGGAAAAAGGCACGGAGCTCGGAGAGCCCAGCTGTGAGCTTCCGGGGCCCTGGGTTCGCGGGCCGGCCCAGATAACTCCGGTGTAGCTGTTTGGTTTCCGAGATGGTCACGGCCCCCACCCCACGTTCGCTTTCATTGCTACAGGTTTGGAGCTCGTGTTCAGTCATCATGACTTGGCATTTCCTCAGTCACCCTTGTTTCTCCCCCAGACCCTTTCGTCTGGGTTTTGTGCACGGGGGACAAAAGCGTGTCCACAGAAAAACGTTTCCAGGGCTTGGGCAGGACAGAGTGCTCAATTTCCACAGAAGTTCTTTTTTTAAAAATATTTTTTTTTCAACGTTTTTATTTATTTTTGGGACAGAGAGAGACAGAGCATGAACGGGGGAGCGGCAGAGAGAGAGGGAGACACAGAATCGGAAACAGGCTCCAGGCTCTGAGCCATCAGCCCAGAGCCCGACGCGGGGCTCGAACTCACGGACCGTGAGATCGTGACCTGGCTGAAGTCGGATGCTTAACCGACTGCGCCACCCAGGCGCCCCAATTTCCACAGAAGTTCTAAACGTGCATGGGTCTCTTCTTCTGCTGACCCAGGGAGCGGCCGCATCTGACAGTCCCCCGCCCGACTGCGTGTGTGCGGCAGCAGGGGCAGCTGAGATGGAGGCCAGTGCTCCCTCCCCCTCTGCACAGTGCACTTACCTGCAAAGTCCAAGGTCGAAAGGCGAGACGTGTGGAGGCCGTGCCCACCTGCTCTGGCAGATGTGCAAGACTCTGGTGGGGATGCACTCGGGCTGTGTCCTGAGCACACAGCCCGTCACACTTGATCCCTGTTGGCCCCTCCAGAACGCAGGCCTTCTCCTGTGGGCTTGTCCAGCCGCAGCCCTGACGTTTGTGCAGTTTAGCACCCCACGCGCCCGTGGCCTGAATCTGCATCGTCCCCGGGTCTGAGGCCCGCCTGGGGCCTTCTGTCAGCCCTGTCCTGCTGAGGCTGAAACTCCCACAGCCACTAGTGTCTGGTCTCTGCTTGGGGGCCAATCCGGACAAGACCTTTGAATAAGGATCCCAAGCGGACGGGTAGCTTGCCTTCCGCGGCCGCACAGCAGAGACCCTGTGAGTCCAAGCGCAAGGCTTTCCCTGGCCCTCGTTAGCGTCTGTCCTCCGGGTCAGAACCCGCCTGCTCACAGAGACACGCCTCAGGCCAGAGAGTCACCGCCAAGGGCTCATCAGCCGCCCCACCAGCTTGTCAGACTCCAGTGTGTCTCCGTTTGCAGGGAGCACCTGTGTCCCCAGAGGCTCCAGTAGAGGAAACGATGGTAAAAAGCCACCATTTAGGGAGACTCGAGTTTCCAATACTCAGCTTAAATTCTGACCCTCCCAGTGGCTGCACGACACAAGGCTGTGGGGTTCCACTAGTGTTTTTTCTTGGCACTTTTTCTGAGTGGGACGATCCCTTTAGCATTTATGAAGTTACCAGCATTTAACGTTTTGTATCGATATTTTACTACACAGGTGGATGCAGTAGCCACAAAACAAAGCCATTACAAAAATTCCATTTTTTTTCTTTTTTTTTTAACGTTTGTTTATTTTTGAGAGAGAGAGGGAGAGGGCGTGAGCAGGGGAGGGGCAGAGAGAGAGGGAGGCACAGAATCCGAAGCAGGCTCCAGGCTCTGAGCCGTCAGCACAGAGCCCGACGCGGGGCTCGAACTCGGGAATGGCACGATCATGACGTGAGCCGAAGTCGGCATTTAACTGAATGAGCCACCCAGATGCCCCAAAATTCCATTTTTTTCTTACTGAAAATTTCCTCACGCCCCTAACAGTTACGGTCTTTCCAGGGCTAACCCTACGGCTTCTGGGAAGATCCCAGCTGAAATAGGAGGTGGGGGGTGGGTACGCAGCAGCAGTCTTATCTAAGACTTTGTTCCAGGCCAGGGACCTGATCTAACATTCCTTCTCCCACTCGGAGAGAAGGGCAGTGCACACTTTGAACATTTTCGGCCCACGCGAGCCCCACTCTTGCGATTCAGACGCTTCCTCCCACCCACCTGGAGAAGAGGAGCCCAAGCATCACCTGCGTGGCGCTGTCCCCCTCCCGGTAGCCAGGGGACCCAAGCCCGCTCTCCTGGGACTGGATCTGTCATTTCCGGGTCCCACAGGTAACTTGTACCCTCACTACAGACAGCAGCTCAGCTGGTGTTTCACGCCACGGACGATTTCACGGCCACCCGGGCACCAGGGGTACGTCACGCCTCACCCCCTCCTCCTTCCTCCGCAAAATAAGGCTCTCACACGAGTCGGTGCGTCTGAGCGCTAGGGAATCCCGCTTTTACAGCCACCCTGTCAAGGGTCCCCGGGAGCACTTCTCACTGTGCTGATTCTGTAGGAGCCCGGGACTCGGCACAGAGTCACAGCCGTGACTTCACGCAGCGAAACGATACAAAGCAAGCTCAGCAACGGGAAGAGATGTGCCAGCTTGCGGAGTCGCACGGGACGTGCTCTGCAACGACACGCGTGGGACACCGTCCGCCAGGACGCTCGCTAGACGCTCGGCCCCCGGAGCGTTCGCAGGGCGGGGCACATAGGCGCCCTCCGCCTGGCACGCACCCAACTTCCGGACGCCCGGAAGGAAAGCGGGTGTTCGGCGTAAAGTGCGCGCGCGTGGACACTCCGGGCCCGGGGAGCCCCCTTACCAGCCAGGGCGGGGGCGGGGGGGGGGTGCAGCCCTGGGGGCACGGCCTCTCCAGGGCGGTCAGGCCAGCCGTGCTGCCCCCCTGCCCGCCTCGCGGGTCCGGCGGCTGGCAGCGCTGCTTCTCTCCCTTGTTGGCGCTGGTGCTGTTCTAGCGGGTTCCTCGGGACTTAGAAGCACGTCACCTGCGAACGGTTACTTCTTCCTTTCCAGTCTGGTGCCTTTATTCCTTTCTCTCATCTGAGCGCTCTGGCTGGGCCTCCTGCTCGGTGTCCACCCAGGCGGCCGAGTCCCGTTCCGGAGGCCGGTGCCAGCGCTGGCTCTCTCAGGTGATGTTTACCGAGTGGAGGGCGTCCCTTTCTGTTCCTAGTTTGCCCAGATTTAGGATTTCGCGGAAGGGGGCTGGATTTTGGCAGATGTTTTTTGTGCATCTCCTGAGGTGCCGCGTATTTCTCTTTCCCATTGGTAGGGTGCGTTCCGTTTACTGCCTGTCAGGGGCTAAGTCATTCTCGCGTCCTCGGGATGAGTCCTATTTGGTCGTGGTGTGGCCTTTCTTACATAGTGTTGGATTTGGTTTACTAGTGTTGTGTGGAGAATTTTTGCTTCTTATTTACAGCGGATACTGGCCCACGGTTTTCTTGTGATGTCTTTGGTTTTAGTATCAGGGTAATGCTGGTCTCTGAGTTGGGAAGTGTTCTCTCCTTTTCTGTTTCGTGAAAATTTGTGAAGCATTAGTGTTCATTCTTAAAAAATTTTTTAAATGTTTATTTTTGAGAGAGAGAGAGAGAGAGAGAGAGAGCATGCACACAAGTAGGAGAGGGGCAGAGAGAGGGGAAGACACAGAATACGAAGCAGGCTCCAGGCTCCGAGCTGTCAGCACAGAGCCCGATGTGGGGCTTGAACCCACGAACCGCGAGATGATGACCTGAGTTGAAGTTGGATGCCTACCCGACTGAGCCCCCAGGGGTCCTGGTGTTGCTTCTTCTTTAACGTGTTTTGTAGAATTCACCAGTGAAGCCATCTGGGCCTGGGCTTTTCTTCGTGGGAAGTTTCTAAATGGCCGATTCATTCTCCTTACTTGTGATAGGCCTTTTGGATTTTCCATTTCTTCCTGCATCAGTCTTGGTGGTTCGCATCTGTTCAGCTAGTCCCTCTCTCCTGGACCATCTAACTTGTCGGCATACTTGCTCCTGGTTTGCCCTTCTCACCCTTCCTGTTTCTGTACCGAAGTGTTCCCTTTATTCTCCGTTGCCATGGCTGTGGTTCTAGAAGCTTTCTCACTGTGACGAGTGTCCTCACAGGCAGAGGGGAGTTTCTCCTAGTGGGATGTGTGTAAGGGATGCCAAGTGATTAGACCACAGGACATTCATCCGAATAAGGCTGCATGCGCTCCTGACCTCCGGATCCCCAGAGGCAGCTGCTGGAGGCTTCCGGCCTGCCCCCTCCTCGCTCTGTTCTCCCCCCAAAGCCTTCTGTCCTCCCTCTGCCCTCGGGCACCTTGGCATTTTCACCTGTGCTGTCCTGGCAGTCGTCCCAGAGCAGCCCCTGGACACGGAGCCCACACTCCTCGACTGCCTGGGGACAGATGCCCACTTTCCAAGCTGCTCTGCCGCAGCGTCTCTTCACACCGCTCCGGCAGCACGTCCACTCGTACCCACGTCCAGGCGCACTTGAATGTGAGTTCCTGGAAGGAGGACTGGGGTTGAAGCCCGTGTGCACCGCTGTCGTCTGCCCTGTGCCATCCCAGGGCCGCGTGTACCCAGCATCTCTCAAGGAGTGTGGAGCAGGGTAAGGGGGCCTTAGTTGCCACACGTTTGATTTTCTTATAGAAGGTGGAACAGGGTGGGGGGGGTGCCTGGGCGGCTCAGTCGGTTGAGCTCAGGTCACGATTTCGGGGTTCATGTGTTCATGCCCACATCGGGCTGGCTGCTGTCAGTGCAGAGCCTGCTTCAGATTCTCTGTCTCTGTCTCTCTGCACCTCCCCCGCTCAGACTCTCTCTCTCTCTCTCTCAAAAATCACACACACACACACACACACACACACAAGGTGGAAGGGGGCTGAGCATCTTCTCAAGCGTGGAAAGGCTTTTCTGTTTGCCCCTTTGCCTGTCGTGTTTCAGATGCCTGCACTGTCCCTTTCTGTGAAGTCAAGTCTGGAATGACTCTCCCTCCATCCTGTGGAGGGCTCTTTGGTGGCGCAGGCAGTGGCCCTGCGGCCCCGGGGCTTCACCCTCCACTCTGGGAGGGCGGCAGCGAGGGAGGTGCGTGGGCCGACGCCTTACCTGGCCGGTGGGCGGGCCAGGGGCCAGTTTGGGAAGTGTGGCCCTTCTTTCGCCAGATTCCTACAGAAGCTGGGGGAGCGGCTCACAAGACTGAGCGTGCAGGCCACAGACAAGGAGGGAAAGCAGGTGGCCTGGGTCGGCGTCGTCTGGGTTCCTGGGCCCCCACGGTCAGCACAGGCCCTTCGTAGGATGGGCACCTCTCTGACTAGCATGCCTGTGACACCAAGTCCCCTGTCACCTGTTTTCCTTCCCCGAGAACTGTGGAACAGTATAAGGCCAGAAGGGGGACAGGGAGCCCCGTGTGGTGTGGTGACCCCGAGCATCAGGCTGCCTGTGTCCACCCACCCACGAGGCGCTCAGCCCGCTCGCCAGGTGTGAGCATGGCCGGGTCGCCCATGAGGCCCGCATGGTGGATACTTGGGCTGTGTCTGGGGAGGCTGGCCCCAGTAGGCCCCTGTGCACCCCTGGAGGGGTGGCTGTGCTGTAGTGGAGACAGGGAGAGAGAAGTGGGGCTCATCCCATGCAGGGCTCGAACTCACGAACCCTGAGATCATGACCTGAGCTGAAGTCAGACACCCAAACGACTGAACCACCCAGGTGCTTCTATTTATTTATTTTTAAAGTTTATTTTGAGAGAAACAGAGATAGCACAAATGGGGAAGAGTCAGAGAGAGGGGGAGAGAATCCCAAGCAGGCTCTGCACTGTCAGCACAGAGCCTGACGCAGGGCTCGAACTCATGAACCGTGAGATCGTGGCCTGAGCCGAAACCAAGAGTTGGACACTTAACTGACTGAGCCCCCAGGAACCCCTATATTACACATATTTATCAAATATTAGAGTCTTACATCCCTTCCCAACTGTAGGAGGATCTGAGAGCATTTACACCCCCTTCTAGCAGACGTGCTTTGTTGTTTAGTGTTTCAGTCGACATCCCTCTTCGAAACATGTGGTGCTTGGACCTAGTTCATATCAGTCATTTTGTCTGCTCACCGCTCCACCTCGTGTCGAAGACCATTATTCTATCATTTGCCTTCGTTTTGCAGGGTAAACTGGAGAGGCTGTTTCAGTCAAAGCCCCAGTGATAAACTGTCTTATATTTTATGTGTCTGTGAATGTCCATGTTCACCTTCTTTATGAACAATAATTTTGCCGGGCATGCAGTTGTAGGGGTTTCCTCCCAGCACGTCAAAGGCACCAACCGACTGCTGCCTCTGTTGCTTTGAGAACTCGACCGATGGTGTGACCATGGCTGCTTTGTGGGTGATTGAGTCTCTTGGACATAAAGATCTCTTCTTGCTGGTCTGTGCTTTCACGGTGTTGTGTTTAGGTGTGGATTTCTCTTTATTTTGCTGCTTCCTCTACATCATGCTTCCCAGACCTGGGAATTTATGTTTTTCATTAAATAAAGAAAAGCTCATAGGAATACTGTAAATGGGGTTCCAAAACAGTTCAGTCCTGTGAAGCACAGCATCTCGTCCTCATGAAGAATGGAGCGAGCCTGCACACATGCCAGCCCCCTCCAGGCTCTCAGCTGTGGATTGGCACTACTTGTTTGCAGTTGCCTTTTATGACTTAACTATCGAAGGTGATGGTTTTGGGTCTTGAGGGTGGCTGGAACTTCCAGGCTGTTGGTAATGATTTCAATGTCCTTTTCCTATCGTTGATTATTTTGCTGGCCCAATTATGGGGAGACTGGACTGGTTAAAATTGGGAGTGGAAACACTCATCTTCCCCTGGTGGGGTTGGATGACGTCTCCCTGCCTGACCTACCTTCACCTCCATCCTTAACCTTGCACAATATGAGAGCTTGAGCTTGGATGGAGCAGAGGGACCGGGTGGGCTGTGGCAGCCAGCCGCTGATGAAGTTGGAATTTGCCTAATCGTGAGGCTTGTCACTGCAGGCCCTCACTGGGTGTCCTCTCCTTCACTCTCTCCTCCTGGGGCTCCTGTCAGGTCCATGCCAGACCTTCTTATTCTGCTTTACAAATCCTTTAACATTTCCTTTATATTTTCCATCTCCTTGTGTGTGTGGTATTCTGGATTTCCTTGGATGTATCTTCCATTACACTAATGCTTTCTTCAGCAGTGTCTAATCTGATATTTAACCTACCTAGTGAATTCTATCAACAATTATACTTTTAATTTCTAAAAGTTGTCTTTTAAAAACTGTGCCTGCTCATACCTGATAGCCTTTTATTGCTTTCTCATTCCTGTACACACTTCATACAGAACTACTCCCTTGCCTGCATTATCTGGTAATTTCATTATCTGAGTTCTGAGGTTGATGTGCACCGTTTGCTGTTTTCTTTGACCCTCATTCAGTGAGAGCTTTCTGTGTGCCTGCTGATCTCTGTAAGCTCACCGCCTGACTTTATAAACAGGAACACCACAGATCTAAGTAGGGGAAGCTTTCCTCCACTGGTATCTGAGAGGCACCATGAACCTGGGACCCTTCAGCCTATCTGAGGATCTTGGCTCAGCATGGGAGTCCCACGCTCGGTTTCCCACCTCACTGGCCCAAGAGCCAGCAGCTCAATAGCTGTGGTGCCACTGAATACACTCTGAGGGCAATTCTGCCCCTACAGGCTGCACACCCCTGGGCCAAAACTCACATCTTTTTTTTTTTTTAATTTTTTAACATTTATTTATTATATTACTGAGAGAGAGAGACAGAGACAGACAGAGCATGAGTGCGGGAGGGGCAGAGAAAGAGGGAGACACAGAATCCGAAGCAGGCCCCAGGCTCTGAGCTGTCAGCACAGAGCCCAACGTGGGGCTCAAACTCACAAACCAGGAGATCATGACCGGAGCCAAAGTCAGATGCTCAACCGACTGAGCCACCCAGGTGCCCCTAAAACTCACACCTTAAAAGAAATAGGTGGAGGGGCGCCTGGGTGGCTCAGTTGGCTAAGTGACCAACTCAATTTCAGCTCAGGTCACGATCCCACAGTTCATGAGGCTGAGCTCCCTATCGGGCTCTGTGCTGACAGCACAGAGCATGCTTGGGATTTTCTCTCTCTTTCCCCCTCTCTCTGCCCCTCCCCAACTGGCACATGCACACTCTCTCTCTCAAAGAATTCAATAGGTGCCTCAAGAGCCCTAGACTTGTGCGATTTTTGAGGTCCCAGCCAGTAACAGGACCCCAAATGATTCACCATCAGTAGTTAAAGCAGAGCAGACAATTACCATGAGGTGGCACCAAACCACAGCCTGACCAGGATAGATTTGGATCATGAAGCTGGACCCCAGAACTCATGGCCAGGTGACTGCTCAGATTTATCTTCCACGATAAACTTTCAACAACAGGACCTCACTCAATTCATTACGGCAGAGTTCTAGGACATGTGACAAAGACATCTCACCATTCTTACCTGGCAGGTGACACATATATCCACGACGCTGTCACAGTGTGATATGAAAGGTTAAGTCAACAACAGTGAATTCACTTAAATTTTACTTCCTGCCTTTTCTGACTGCAGATTGCGAGGTCCTGTGGGTGAGCACATTTCTCACACCCCTTCACACCCCCTAGTGCACCCTGACCTGCTTTGAACACATTTAGCCCATTTGTTGATTAAAACTCCTGAAGAACCAGCTCAGGCGTCACCTCTCCTGGGAGCCCTTCCCGGCGTCTTCACCTTGTCCCGTCATGGGTGTGTACCTCTGTCCTGTGCTTCGTCCCCTGGAGGAACTTCTGTTCCTGGACTTTTTGTTGGACACCACATGGCTTGTTACCCTGGTCTGTAACCTCTCTAACCTGCGAAGCCCCTGCGTGCAGAGGTCACACGAATCTGTCTCTCCCAGCAGAGTGGCCACAAAGCCTGGACAGGTGTGTGCTGGGGAAACATTTGTTGAAAGTACCGGTATCTTAAACTCCCTTTTCTTGCACTGTGTTTCCGAGGCTGAGCAGAGAGAGCTCTCCAAGCTGCGCCCACCGAAAGCAGAGTTGTGTTCTCGCCGCCTCCCGCCAGCCTGCGCTCTCCTCCGTGTGCCATCTTTCACACACTCCCCTACACGTTTCCCTCTTCCGTGGAGTCTGTTCTGCTTTGGCATTTTCTGTACCAAGGGCTGTACTTGGGTGGAGACACACAGACATAAACACAGCGTTGATACAAAGTCGACAGTGACTCCTGCCTTTTAAAAGAACTAAACAAGAACAAAAACAAACCAAAACACTGATAGACGGATCTCAAAAACCTGGAGTAGAGGGAAAGAAGGAAGACAGAAAAGTAAATATTAAATCATTCTATTTACATCAAGTTCTAGACCGAGCAGAACCATAGTGACAGAAACGAGGTCGCTGCTCGCCTCTGACGCTGACGGCTGAAGGGGGCGACGGAAATGGTCTAGAATCTGGACAGAATGATGGTTCTAAAGGTCAGATCAGATGGTTTGTCCAGTCTCCGGAAACCCGCACGCGAGATCCGTGCGTTTCACCGTACGCGAATCACACCTCCGCAAGAGGCGTGTGGACGCGGGATTAGTTCCGGAGGACCCCCCCACCCCCACCCCCCGCCCCGTCCCCATCGGAGCCCCGTCTTCGGGGAGGCCTGCGTCCCCTCCGGGAAGACCAGCCTCCCCGAAGGCTCCCTTCCTCTTCCGAGCGCGGGCCAGGGTGGCCGCGGGCACAGCACGGAAAGCCCGGAGGCCGCCCCCGCCTCCCCGGCCCGCGGTCTCCCGGCGCTGCGCCCTCCCCCCCCCCCCCCCCCTCCCCGGGCCGCGGCGGGGCGGGGCTCACTCGGCGCCGTGCACGCGCCGGTGCTGGATCAGGTGCGAGCTCAGGCGGAAGGCGCGGCCGCACTCGCCGCAGCGGAAGGGCTTCTCGCCGCTGTGCACCCGCCGGTGCCGGAAGAAGCCGGACAGGGCCCTGAAGGCGCGGCCGCACTCGCCGCAGGCGTACGGCTTCTCGCCGGTGTGGATGCGCCGGTGCTCGCTGAGGAAGGAGCTGCGGCTGAAGGCGCGGCCGCACTCGGGGCAGCCGAAGGGCCTCTCGCCCGTGTGCACGCGCCGGTGCTGCAGCAGGTTGGAGCTCTGGCCGAAGGCCTGGCCGCACTCCCTGCACACGTAGGGGCTGTCCCCGCGGTGCGTGCGCCGGTGGCGGGCCACGTTGGAGCTGTGGACGAAGGCCTTCCCGCACTCGCCGCAGGCGTACGGCCGCTCGCCCGTGTGCGTCCTCCGGTGCTTGGCGGCGTCCGACCTCTGGCCGAAGGCCTTGCCGCACTCGGCGCAGCCGAACGGCTTCTCCCCCGTGTGCGTGCGCCGGTGGCGCACCAGGTTGAAGCTCTGGCCGAAGGCGCGGCCGCACTCCTCGCACACGTAGGGCCGCTCGCCGTGGTGCGTGCGCTGGTGGCGGACCACGTGCGAGCTGTGGATGAAGGCCTTCCCGCAGTCGCTGCAGGCGAACGGCTTCGCCCCGGAGTGAATGCTCCGGTGCTTCGCCGCGTCCGAGTGGCACTGGAAGCTGCGGTCGCACGCGCCGCACTGGTAAGGCCGCCCTTTCCGGGGGCCTCTCCCCCCCGCCGCGGAGCCTGCGTCGGGGGCGGCGACGCCGCCGCTGCTGTCCCGGCCGGCCCCCCCTCCGGGTTTCTCGGAGACGGCTGGTGGCCCGGGGGAGCCTCCGGCCTCCTCGTCCCCACGACCGTCCGGAAGCCGCGGCGCCCGGGCAGGCCCCCGGGCCGGCCCCGGACCGCTCTCCCCGCGGCACCCCCCTTCTTCGGAAGCCTCCTGCTTCGGCGCTGGCACCGTGCTCGGAGCCCCCCGCTCCGCCACTGAAGCGGCACGGCCGCCGGCCGCCGGCGCCAGGGACGCTGGAAAAGAGGGTCAGAGACGTGTGACTTGAGGCCCAAGGAAGCTCTAGGACAGCGCACATGCACGCGAGGGGCGCGGTCACAGCGCAGAGCAGACACCTGCGCGCTGCCGGCGCGGTTCCTGCCAGCTCTCCCCTTCCTTAACAGCCGTGCTCCTAGTAGTGGGCAAGGCCACGAGAGGGCAGATCGGGACCCTCCGCTGTGACTCCAGGGTGGCCTGAGCCTCTACCCACAGTCTCAGGAGGGCAGGGGACAGACGCCTGGGCTCTGCCGTATGGCCTGGGAGGCAGACTAAACGGGCAGCAAGCCAGATCACCAAAGTAGAGATACCGGGAGGAGCGGGCTAAGAGCGCCTGGTGGCCCACGTCCTGGTCCCAGCTCACTTCTACAACCCCAGACTCCCCACAACCCACAGGGCCTCTGGCCCGCACAAGCAACAGAAGGCTTACTCAGAAATCAGTGCCAAGAGTAAGCAACAGCGACGGGGGACAGAGCCGCTGGGCTGAGGAAACCCGCTCCCGCTCCCACTCGGGGCCCGGCTGCCCAGCGGGAGGCTGCTGCCAGCTCTAGGCCCTGCTGGCTCCCGGGCACAGACCATGCACCCACTTAGACAAATGCCTTTAGGGACGTGGTCGCAGAACACCGGGAGGTCACAATGCGGGGCGGTTCTTGCCACCTTCGCAGGGCCTGGAGGGGGTACCTGGGAAGGGGGACAAGGATGCTTCCCTGCAGGTGGCCCAGTGGAGGGCAGTCCCCAGGACAAGCCCATCAGCCTGCAGACCAGCTTTCCGAAGAAAGCTGTGCCTGTATTGCCGGACTGGGGCACTTCCCTTCTCCGCTCTGCCCCCAGAGCTGGGCACAGGTGATAAAGCCCCCTGCGTAGCTGGGGCGGGGGCAAGGCAGGTTAGGGCCCATGGGCACCCACAGCCATTCCCCATGGGTTCCCTAACGAGGGAGCTGTCCAGCTGAGCAAGGGCAGTGGGGCCAGGCCCAAGCACACGGCTAAGAAACAGGAGGCCCCTGGGAAGGCCCCGCCTGACCTGTGGTTTGGCAGACTTAGAAATTCAAGAAAGAGTCTCATAGGCACTGGTTATGAGGCAAGGGTCATTCAGAATTAGAATTGGAGGGAGGGGGCATGAATACCCTTTCCGGTTCCACTTGGTCAGGCCTCCGGTCCTGTGACCTGCTGGCCTCCTGGGGCAGCCCTGTGCAGGGGGCCCTCCCAGTGACAACCTCCCAGGGGTCCCTGAGGACCCCTGAACACAGAGCATTTGTTCTCGCCGGGGGCGGCTTTGCCCCCGGGGCACATCTGGCTTTGTCAGAAAACATCTCTGGTTGTCAAAACTGGGAGGGGGTCATCCTGGCATCCTGTGGGGAGAGGCCAGGGGTGCTGGGGCGTAGCCTAGAACGCACGAACACCCCTACAGAAGGCGTCTTCTGTCCCAGAATGTCTACATGCCAGAGCTGACAGACCCTGCCGGAAGGAAGTCTTCCCGAATGGTTGTAACTGGAGAACTGTCCCCAGCTTGACATGCACGAGGCCCATCCGGGCGGCGCTGGCCTCACGCTCGCCCATATCCCACTCGCAGGCCAGAGATCTCACGGCCTGCGCTCAGGGCCAGCAACCAACACAGGGTGCTCTTTATTCCCTGAAAATGTGTGTTCTGCTGTAACCCGTTTCTCTTCCGCCACTCTGTGTGCGTGGGCATTTGCTAAAATCATTTCATCCCAAAGCGAGGGACTGTGAAGAGCCCTGTGTGGACCGGATCTGGCCAGGGTTAAGGTCAGGTGGGGGAGGGAGAGGCCCAGCCTGGACGTCCGGGACTTGAAGGGCAGCTTCAAGGCAGGGCCCAAAGAAGGGGTGAGTGTTTGTTCGTGGACACTGGGGTTCTTTGATCTCAAGGGAGAATAGAAGCAGGTGTGTGGGGTTCTGCAGAATGCTCTGGCAGCCGTGGCCACACTCCACCCAGGCCCCGCCCCCGACGCAGCAGACAGCGTATGTGGTGGCAGAGCCCGAGGCAGCGCGTGTGTCTGCACGGAGGGGAGACGGTGCTGTCCCGAGCGCCACTTGTCCCACACCGCAGCAACAGCAGTAAACTGGATAGGAGTCCTCAGCTTCGACAGCCCTCAAGCATGGCCTTAAGTCTTCAGGACAGAGGGAGCCCGGAGCCCGAGAGGGCAGTGGGCGGGAGGCTAGCCAGATTCTCCCTCGTCATACTCTTCCGGCCACCTGGTCTGGGCCCAAGCTAGCCTAGCCGGGGTGCTGAGAAACAGGGCCAGAATTAAGAGTCTCATTCTCAGAAGTCTCCAGGCGGGGGGGGGGGGGGGGAAAAACGGGGGGGGGCAGAGCTGGGCCAGGAGAGCAAAGGGATACAGCAGGCAGTGGCGAGGATAGCAGGCAGCGGGGTGGGAACCGGGCCGGGCAGAGGGGATGGGGTGCTGCTGCCCCATCCCAGCTACATCCCTAGCCGCTGGGCAGGTGGCCTCTGGGGGCCCCGATTCCTAAGCTGTCCCCCCCCCCCAGCCCCACCTGCCTGTCCACCCCTCACCTGTGTGTGTGTCCATCAGGGTGGCCGTCTCATTGGTGTGCTGGAGACCAGACCTGGGGGCGCGCCTCGCTGTGCCTTGTGGGAACGCCAGCAGCGGGTACACCTGCCTGAGTAAGAAAGAAGACACGGGGCGGAAAATGCCAGTTTGGAAAGTGGGGACGAGCCCAGAATGCCTTCCGAGAGGTCAGCGCTGCTCCTGGAGACCCTGAAGGAGCCACCTCATGCACTGTGCCTGTTTCTGCCACGAGAAATCAAAGTCGTGACACCCCAGGAACTAGTGTCCCGGAGGATACCCCCTGGGAATGCTGTCTGGACCACGCTGGCTCCCCCGTCCTGTCCCCAGCAGACGGAGAGCGCAGCTGGGTGTGGCAGCCCCTGCTCGCTCGCTCGCTGCCTGCGGTGGCTTCGCTCCATGAGGAACAAGCCCACAAGGCCTCCGGTCAGCGCTCAAACGTCTGGAGACGTGTCTAGGGAATTACTTTTTTCTTGATAATCGTAAAGATTTGAATATAAAAATATGAACCCCCCCAAAATAAAAAGTCATTTGAGGGGCGCCTGGGTGACTCAGGCGGTTAGGCATCCGACTCTGGAGTTCAACTCCGGCCATGATTTCATGGTTCGTGGAATCGAGCCCCACATCAGGCTCTGTGCTGACCGCGCAGAGCCTGCTTGGGATTCTCTCTCTCTCTCTCTCTCTCTCTCTCTCTCTCTCTCTCTCTCTGTGCCCTTCCCACTCTCACATGCTCAACTAAATAAACTTACAAATGTTATTTGACTGGTGCACTTTTGGATTGAGAAGTGACTTTGCTATGCTTGATACTAAAGTCTGACAGATTTAACTACACAAAGAAATTTAGGATAAACAAAGAAATGAAAAAAAAAAAAAAACTGGGTGGGGGTATGTTTGTAACATAAAGATTCATATCCTTAATGTATAAAGACCACTACGTATTAATGAGAAAACGTGAAAATTGGTAAAAGTCACAAACAAGTAACCACAAAAAGAAAGCAGACAAGTGGCCAATATATTTTTTAATATAAGTCCCTCATTTGTCCCACCTCATTTGCAATTGAGAAATGTAATTTAGGAGCGCCTGGGTGGCTCAGTCGGTTCGGCGTCCGACTTCGGCTCAAGTCGTGATCCTGCGGTTTGTGAGTTCGAGCCCCTGCGTCCGGCTCTGTGCTGACAGCTCAAAGCTTGGAACCTGCTTCGGATTCTGTGTCTCCCTCTCTCTCTGCCCCTCCCCTGCTCAAATTCTGTCTCTTAAAAATGAATAAACGTTAAAAAATTTTTTTGAAGAAATAGAATTTAAAATATCACTTTTGACTCTAATGTGGCAGCACCTTGGGGGCGAGGAGAAGGTTGGGGGAGACAGGCACGGTCCTCCACCAACGCTGGAGAGTAAGTGCCCCGCTGGGGGGGGGGGGGGGCGCGCTGGACAACTTACAAAGCAGTCCTACTGTGACTTCGCTTCTGGGGAGTCACCCCAACAGTGAGATCACGGGTGCTGGCAGAGACCTGCCTGTACGGACATTTCGTCTCCAACTTGCTCGGGAAGAAACCTTGGACATGACGCCATTTCGACTAAAAACAAGGGAAGGTTCAAGTGCGTGAGCAGCTGGTAACGAAGCGACCCCTGAGGCCATCTCACTGGTCAGGGGGCTCCCGAGGCCGTCACGCCGGTCCGGGGAGACGCCCCTGAGGCTGTCACTCCCCACGGCGCACGTGCAGCTCCTTCCAAACGAGAGCCCGGCAGACACGCACGTACCCGCCCGGGCGCCAGGTTCCCGCCCCGGCACAGCCCGTAGCCGCCCACCGCCACTCACCTGCAGCCCCGCCGTCCGCCGGAAGCGCCGCCGTCCCCAGCGCCGCGGCGCGGGCACTTCCGGTGACGCTCTAGGCCGCGGGAGGACTGTGCGCTCGGCTGCCCGGGAGGCCGCGGCGCGGGCGGCTCTCGGTGACGCTCTAGGCCGCGGGGCGGGGTGGGGGGACTGTGCGCCCCGGCTGCTCCCCGCGTGGGCTGCGCGCGCAGGACGCTGGCTCCGCTCGCGGCGGTGTCCGGGGGACCTCGCCCGCCCCGCCCGCCTCCCGGAGCCGCGACCCCCTGCGAGCCCTGCCTCCCTCGCCTGCAGCCGGGCCCGGGTGAGGCCAGACGGTGGCCGAGGCGGCCGCGGGGCGAACGAACGAGCCGACGAGGCGCGTGCGGGTGGAGAGCGGTGGCGGCGCCGCGGGGGCAGAGGGCCGTCCGAGGGAGGCCCGGGGGTCCGCTCCCCGGAGAGGGGCCGGGAGCGCCCGCGGCGGGGCGGCTTCGCGATCGCGGCCCTCCTCCCGGCTGCGGAGACCCCCTCTGGCTCCCGGTCTCCCTCGCCAGCGGCTTGCAGTGGGGGCTTCACATTGACGGCGGCGGGCGCCGCCCGAGGACCCACGGGAGGGTCCGCAGGACCGGCCGAGGGGGCTCTAGGCTTCACGCAGGACCGAAATCAAACGCGAGCCGGAGAGAAGTGCAAACGGTGCATTGAGCAGAGGTAGACGGTAGCCGCGAAGCGTCTGGGGGACCCGGGAAGGAGAGGGGTTCTCCCCGTCGCGTGGGGTGAGGGGCTCACACTGGAAAGGGGCCCAGGGCACTGTTGCTTCGGGAATCTAGGCTAGGGTCCGACCAAAGGCCAGGTGGACAACGGGTGTTACTCTATAAATCATCAATACGGATGGCGAACGGTTTTCTTCTTCAGGCGTGTCCGGGTCGCTTCCTGTCCTGCGTGTGCTGCTCCCACAACCGGGTGCCAGAAGAGGGCTTTTTCTTTGCCGGCTAGAACGGTGACTTCATCCTGGGCTGCGGGTTATCTTTCTTTTCCAGCAGGTTCAGGGGTGCATCTGAGGGTGGCTGTTGTTTGTTTCGGCTCAGGATCCCTTCCCTCCTGCGTTCTGATGAGAGCGCAGCACCTTTCCTTCTGGGGAGTGCTCCTCTTCCCTCCGATCCCCCCTAGATCATTCTGGAGCCGAGGCCACACCGAGCCCTGTAGGATGAGAAGTGGAAAGGCGACGGGGGGTCGGGCGCCTGCGTGGCTCAGTCGATTAAGCGTCGGGCTCCTGATATGCTGGGGCCATGATCTCATGGCTCGTGGGATGGAACCCTGATCTCATGGCTCGTAGGATTCTCTCTCCTTTTCTCTCTGCCACCTCCCCCTCCCCTCAAAGATAAATAAACATTTCTTAAAAAGAAGAGGAAAGTGACAGACCTGGTCACATCAAGGGTCTGGTCCCGGCCAGGAAGCCTGGATTCCCTGGGTTGCTGAAGCCGCTCCTGACCGCGTGGGCTGCCCCAGGCCCTTCGAAGCCTGTGCGTGCCCCCGGTGGTGCCAAAGAGCTCCTGCTGCCGACGCTGTTGCTTTGGCGGTTGTCCACTTGACTTCAAGGGTCCAGGCCCTGGGCCCCCAAGAGCTGGCAAGTGCCCTGAGGAGCCAAGGGGCTTCTTCAGTAGGACCGGGCAGGTGCTGAGGGAATGGGCCCAAGCTCACGCCGACTGGCCTGTGGCCCCAGCCAGTGCATGCGACCTGTCCCTCCACTGATGCGGCCCGTCTGTAGCCCCGACTGTGCCAACCACCTCTTCGAGTATTAAGAACCCTGAGAGAGACGCCACTTTGCAGACAAGGAAATCTGGATTCCCAGAGCAAGCTGGCGCACAGAAAAAGGAAGTGACCCGCCTCGCTTGGCCGGGATAATCCCGGCTACTTTCCACCAGCAGACAGGCACCCAGGCTCTGTGGCTGGAAACCATGGCGGCCCACGCGCGTTGCTAGCAGGTGGGCTCTGCTCTGTCGGTCGTTGTCATTCCGGGGCTGGGCCCCCAGCACGGGCGCTGCTGGAACACGGCGGGTCACTAGACGGAGGGCAGAAAGAATTCGGGGGAGGCCTGCGGGCTCTTCGTGGTTCCCTTTTAACGTTTATTTATTTTTTGGGACAGAGAGAGACAGAGCATGAACGGGGGAGGGGCAGAGAGAGAGGGAGACACAGAATCGGAAACAGGCTCCAGGCTCTGAGCCGTCAGCCCAGAGCCCGACGCGGGGCTCGAACTCACAGACCGCGAGATCGTGACCTGGCTGAAGTCGGACGCTCAACCGACTGCGCCACCCAGGCGCCCCTCGTGGTTCCCTTTTAGCACAGGCCTTAGGCACAGCCAGGTCCAGGTGAACTGGGCTGTGCGATCCTACCGTGGCCTGAAGAAAAAATGGCAGTCAAGACCACAGAGGACAGGACTGGCCGGTGGCCAACAGTGGTGCCAGGAGGGAATGAGCCCCGGTGGTCTGAACCCACACTCCCTGCCAGGACAGTTGCCTCTTTTGGCCCCAGAGGAGCTTCAGAATGCAAGAGAAGAGGGCAGGATGGAGATCCCAGGCGGGGAGACCCAGAAGCTCCCTCAGTACCCTGCAGCCCCCCACCTTCCCGCCTCTGGCCTCCCCCAGACTCCGGCTCCCTCGGGCGCCTCTCCTACAAGCCCCAAGTGCAGCAGCCGGCCAGCCCACCCCCCACGTCCTCTGTGCAGAAGCTTTTTCAGGGCAGGCGGCATCGGTAAACACCCACTATATGTTGTGTATATATGTTGTATTATTTATTTGTAAATAATTATTTAAAAAAAACATGTAAAAATTAAAACATTTAAAAGGATGATCTCAATGGAGAAACAGGTTTCCCTCTGCCTTCCAAGGAAATACCTCGGGTGTTCTGGAGAGCTGCTCCTCCCACAGGCGACTTTGCTAACGGCAAGTCCTGCCTCCTGCCCGCGAGCCTTGGCTCCCACCGCCCGCTGGACAGTCCAGCTCGGGCCCCGCCCCGCACACGCCCCTCGCTGTCCCCAGCCTTTCGGGTTCCATCCCGCCTCCCGGCAGGGACTGGGACCGGACGGTAGGGGGCTGAGCCACCCCGACCTAGAGGCCGCCCGGCCCTCACTCCCGCCCTCCCCGCGGCCAAGGGCTACCGAGCTGCCTAGTGGCGGTCCCCGCAGCCATGCCGATGGAGGGACGGGACTGTGTGGGGGACAGGCCCCGGAGCTCAATCCCGCACACTTGGCGTAAGGGGCCAGATGGTACCAGCGATTTGTAATAATCCTTTAAACCTCTTGTAATAATCCTGTAAAGACATCGGTGGCCCGGTGGCCGTACAAAAGCGCCCGTGGGCGCCGGGCCGGCCGGCTGAGCCTCGGTCGAGGGTTCGGCCAGGGGTGGGGAGGAGGGGGCGCCTGTCCGGAGGACCCCAAGCCCCGCGCGGCCGCACTCGGGGCAGCGGGCTCCCGGCCGCCGGCGGCGGGAAGTGCGAGCCGGCACGAAGGCTTTCCCGCACCCGTGCGGATGCTCCACCGCGGCCGGCCTCGGCCCAAAGCCCTCCCGCGCTCAGCGCGCTCGGGAGGCTTCTCCCCGCCGGGAAGCTTCCGGTGCTGGGGGCCGGGTGGGGGGTGGGGGCGCCGGGAGGCCCGGGGGGCGCTCAGCCTGGCGGATCGCTTGATCGCTCAGCTGGATCACCTGCCGGGTTCCGAGGGGCGCCTCCAGCTGGGGTCACAGCTCCGGGGGCTCGCGCCTGTCCAATCTTCTGCGTGGGTCACCAGGTTCGCGGTGAGCCTGGCTTTGCTTCTAGGCTCCTGTCGGTGGTTCCTTTCCTCCCTGGGGGTTGTCTGAGGCCCGCAGGTCTTGTGTGGCAGCCCTGCCCGCCCCTGTGCACCCCCATGGCCTCTGCAGGACCCGGTGGCCCAGGCCTTGGGAGCTCTGCCCCCAGACACCCTGCGGCTCAGTCCCCTCCAGGGTTTCTTGAAGGCGAATCTGCTCCTCATTCTGGGTTCTGTGCTCACGGTCTGAAACCAGAAAGGGAGAAGGCAGATGTCACCAGACTCTAAGCCACAGCACAGAGAGACTTTGGGGACAGCACCATCATCTCATTAGAGACAGTGGGGAGGGAGGAAGGAAGCATGGACAGATTCCCAGGGTGGGAAGGGGTGTGTGGTGGGTGATGCAGGGATTGAGGTGAGGGCGGGGAGGCCAGGCCAGAGGCAGGCGGGGAAGGGCACAGGGCCAGGTGGCAGGGCACGGGAAAGGGCTGGCGGTGCGCATCTGAACATCCCGACTCCCACACGGAAGTCAGTGCAGCTTTAGCATCCCGGAGTTTGGCCTCCCTCCCAGATGCGCCTCCCGTGGGAGATCCATGAGCTGGACGCATGGGTTCCTGCAGGGCTGTGGCAAGAGAGCCGACCCGCCAGGGCTGACCGGCGCGGTCAGGTTGCCAGTGAGAAGGTGCAGCACCCCCTGGAGGCAAGACAAGGAAGCCGCAGAAACAGCTCTGCGCGGCCGGAACGAGGGCCCGCTCCCTGCGCGGCGTGGAGCCCGGCTCTGGGCCCGGCCCAGGGCGCCGGGCAGAACGGCCTGTGTCCCGCGTGCAGACTGAAGAGATGCCCGTGCGGCTTTGTGTTTCGGTGTCTGTCTCTGGCCCTCTCTGTGCTGATGCGACAAAGCAACATCACTAAGAGTATCTAGAATCGGCGTACTTTTCCTAAAATAAACCAGGACTTCTGTTCAAAGATAACTGTGTAGAGACCTTTTACTTCCTTTCCCCCCTCAATCCTAAAGGGATAGTAAAGAATGGGGAGCAGCGAGAGGAAGCCCAGAACCACGGCCCGAGAGGCCCCGCCTCTGGCAGGACTGGCTGAGCGCCGCCCCCCCGAAGTCCCCCCGCCGCGAGGGGCCCAGGGCGCGTGCGTGCGCCAGCATGTGCCTGCGGGCTGCGGGGGACTTCCCCAGGTGAGGGGGGCACAGTATTTCAGATCTGAGGTCACTCCCCCTTGGAGGACAGGTGCCTCCAGCAGGGACACGGCGGAGCAGGCGACAGAGCGATGAGCTGAAGTCAGGGTGGGTTTGACCCAGCTGCCTGATGCCCCTCACCCCTGCCTTCCCCCAGGGCAGACCTAAGGGACTTGGGATGCCCTGAGATCGCTCCTCAAACGAGAATGAAGAAATCACAAGTGGCATCACTAACGAAAATGAAGAGCCCACGCAAAGGAACCTGGTGGCACAGAAGGCGCTGAGTCAGCAGAACGCAGAAAGAAATGGAAGGAGAGGCATCACCAGTGTCCTGGAGGAAGCAGCAGAAGAGGGGAACCCCGGCGAGCTGCCTCCAGGGGCCGAGGGATCAGCCCCACAGCCCCAAGGACCTGAATCCTTCGAGCACCCGAAGAGGTTAGAGCAGGGCTGCAGGTGAGGACGTGCGGCCAGCGGGAAGCCCCAGGCAGCCCCCACCGGACTTCCCACCCGGAGTCTGAGCGATAACAAATGGGCTGGGAGAGAGCTGGGGCGGGGCGTGGGGTGGGGAGACACCCTGGAGGCTTTACAGCAGAAAATTCCAGTTCAGCCGGGGGGCGGGGAGCAGGGGGAGGATTTGCAGCACATTGAGACCTAGCAGCTGCCCAGGCTCATCTCCACCCGCTTGATGCCTGTGGGATCCCGGGGAACCTGCCCCGAGGACTGCTGGGGCAGCTCAACGCCCACCCCTGGGGGCTCACGAAGAAGGGAGACCGTCGGAGGCACAGCGGTGCGTGGAGCCGGTGCCCGGCAGCGGTGCGCAGAGCGCTTCCCCGGCCGCGGAGGCAACGGAGCCACCGACTCCGCAGGGAGAGCCGCCTGCGGGCACCGCCAGAGCGGGTCCTGAAGCGCCCGCAGGAGGTGGCGCTCCGCTGCAGAAGAGAACGTGGGGAAGGGCCCGGGCCTGGTCCCCCAGGGGCGGCCAGCGGGTTCCAGCAAAGAAACCACCTGGAGAAGTAAAAAGGGGTCAAAGCAAACAGGTGTGTGTTGAGAAGCTGTTTAGGATGTAAAGTCCTCTTTGAAGCAGGAGCCAGAATAGCTTCCGGGGCTTCCGTTGCTCCTTGTTAATTTCTTGGCCGTTCTTCCTTTAGACCGCTTTGTGGAAAGGGAAGATGTATTTGATTACTTAATGTCTATTCCTATGAAACGAAAAGGCAGCATCGCAAGTAAAAGCCACGCGAGAAGAAGGAGAGGTTGAATGAACACAACAGAAGGCCAGGCCAGGGGCGTGGACGACGGATCTAAGGAGCCTCGCAAAGTGAGGTGGCAAAGAACAGAAGGACAGCTGGAGAAGACGGGAAGGTGAGGGAGGCAGAGGCGCGCAAGCGGCCTACTTCCACATGGCTTTTCTGAAGAAGACCAGCAAAGGGACCGTGAGACAGCCCTTCCAACACAGAAAGGGAGCCGTGAAGCCGTCTGCCGCAGGCAGGAGCTGCCAGAGGGGTCCTGCCGGGGGGACAAGTGGATCAGAGTCCGGGGAAGCGGTCTGGCCTTTGTGCCAACACGTCGCTCCATCTTGTTCTCGGGCGCTGTTCACCACCCACCATCCTCCGGCCGGTTGCTGCCCTGTAAACCCGTGGGGCACCCTGGGGTCAGGTGTAACAGAGAGGGACAGCCGTGCAGTGGTGCTGCACACGGAATGCAGGGTGGCAGGGGAGGAAGGCCCGAACCCGGGGTCAGGAACACCTGGGTCAGATGCCGGCACCGGCAGGTACTAGCTGCATAATGTGGGCGAATGACTTCACCTGCCCGAGACCTAAGACGGGGCTGAAGCCC